AATGAAAAACAGTAGACCCAGCACCGATCCTTGTAGCAGACTGCTGGTCACCAGCCTCTAGTCTGAAAAGCAACTCTCCACCACCATCCTCTGTCTTCTACCTTCAAGCTAGTTCTGTATCTAAATGGCGAGTTCTCCCTGTATTCCTTGTGATCTAACCTTGCTAACCAGTCTACCATGAGGAACCTCGAACACCTTACTGAAGTCCATATAGATCACATTCACCGCTCTGCCCTCATCAATTCTCTTCATTACTTCTTCAAAAATCTCAATCAAGTCGGTGAGACACGATTACCCATGCATAAAGCCATGTTGACTATCCCTAATTGGTCCTTGCCTTTCCAAATACATGTAAATCCTGTCCCTCAGAATTCCCTTCAACAACCTACCCACCACCAATGTGGGACTCACCCGTCTATAGTTCTCTGGTTTTTCTTTACGACTTTTCTTAAACAGTGGCACCACGTTAGCCAACCTCCAGTCTTCCGGCACCTCTCATCACTCGCCTGTGGCTATCGATGATACAAATATCACAGTAAGGGGCACAGCAATCTCTTCCCTAGCTTCCCACAAAGTTCGAGGGTACATCTGACCAGGTCCTGGGGATTTATCTACCTTTATGTGTCTTAAAACTTATAGCACCTCCTCCTCTGTAAAATGGACATTTTTCAAGATGTTGCAATTTATTTACTCATGCTCTCTATCTTCCATATCCTTCTCCACAGTAAACACTGATGCAAAATACTAATTTATTATCTCCCCCATCTCCTGCAGTTCCACACATATGCAGCCTTGCTGATCTTTAAGGGGCCCTATTCTCTCCTTAGTTACTCTTTTCTCCTTAACGTATTTGTAGAAACCCTTTGGATTCTCCTTAACCCTATTTGCCAAAGCTATTTCATGTCCCCTTTTTGCCCTCCTGATTTCTCTCTGAAGTATACTCCAACCTCCTTCGTACCCTTCTAGGGATTCACTTGATCCCCGCTGTCTCTCCCTGACATGTGCCGAGATTCTGCAGCACTTTCTGGTTTTACTTAAGATTTCCAGTATCCACATTATTTTATTTTTATTAAGGAGTGAAGGGCGGGGCCAGTGTTTCCGGGGCAGGGCTAGAGTCTCCACAGTTACGTGGAACAATCCCTCTTCCATAGCTACACTGGCCCTAAACCTCACCTCTCCCTCCGTTACATTGATGACTGTATCAGCGCCGCCTCGTGCTCCCACGAAGAGCTCGAACAGTTCATCCACTTCACCAACACCTTCCACCCCAACCTTAAGTTCACATGGACCATCTCTGATACCTCTCTCTCCTTCCCGGACCTCTCTGTTTCCACCTCTGGCAACCACCTGGAAACCGATATCCATTTCAAGCCCAACGACTCCCACAGCTACCTAGAATACACCTCCTCCCACCCACCTTCCTGCAAAAATGCCATCCCCTATTCCCAATTCCTTTGCTTCCGCCGCATCTGCTCCCAGGATGAGGCATTCCACTCCTGTACATCTCAGTTGTCCTCGTTTTTCAAGGACCGCAACTCCCCCCCCTCAGTGGTCGAGAACGCCCTCAACCGTGTCTCCCGCATTTCCCGCACCTCATCCCTCACACCCCCTCCCAGCAATAACAACCCAAACAGAATCCCCCTCGTCCTCACGTACCACCCCACCAACCTCTGGATCCAACGCATCATCCTCCGAATCTTCCGCCATCTGCAATCCGACCCCACCACCAAAGACATTTTTCCCTCCCCACCCTTTATCTGCTTTCCGGAGGGACCACTCTCTCCGTGACTCCCTTGTCCGTTCCACACTCCCCTCCAGCCCCACCACACCCGGGACTTTTCCCTGCAACCGCAGGAAGTGCTACACCTGCCCCCATACCTCCTCCCTCACCCCCATCG